CGCCTTCCCAGCCGTCACAGCGCCCCGGCCCTTGCGCACCCCCGGTCAGCCCAGCGGGAACTGATGCGCTCCCCAGTCCAAACCAGGCTCGCACCCCTGCCGCGGTCACCGCGGACCCAGCGGCCCCCGCAGCGCAATAAACCCAGCCCAAAGAGCGGGGACCACCACGGCTCTGCCACAGCAGCGGTTTAATACGTGAAGAGGAGCGACCGCTGGCCGGGCCTTCGGGGTCACAGCCTGCTCCCAGCCCAAAGCTCGACACAAACGCTTCAGCACTACCAGCGCCTTTGGCAGCCCCTGCACCCACACCAAAATGCTTTTCCTGCACCACCTGCACATCCAGGACTCCCCAGGAGATGAGACACCCATCTTAAACACCCTCCTTTTGCCAGTGCCCACCTGTACAGCCCCAGGTAGAAACACCCCCCCCCCCCCCCTGTCCCTCCCGTCCACTGCAGGACCAGACCACCCTGGGGCTGTAACCCCCCCAGTCTGATCAGGGCATTGGGGCTGCTGCCCTCAGCGCCCACAGCCCCGCACCAGCCCCGCAGCCCAAGGTGGTGCAAGGAGGTGCAGGCAGGGCCTCGCTGCTGCACCAAACCCTGCCCGAGCCCACGGGAGGGACACAGGAAGGGGCTCCCCTGACTGGGGGTCCTCAAATTCAGGTCTGCCCCAGGAGCCAGGCACGGAGGAGGGGGAGCATCAGGGTGCACAGTGACACCAGCAGATCCATGGGCTGGCAGGAGCAGATCTTGTCCATGGAGAGCGTGAAGGGGAGCCCGAGGCAGGGAAAAGAGAGCACCCAGTGCCCCCCACCTGCCCACCCACACCAGGGAAGCAGCCAAGGAGGGACAGCGGGAGCAGGGTCCCCAAACCAGACAGAGCAGAGAGGCAGAGCATGTTCCAGAGGTTCACACCATCTGCCCCAGAGCCAGGGCAGGTGGGGCAGAGGCACTTTGGTCCCCCCCGCGGTGCTTTAGGGCCCAGATGTGTGCAGATGTGTGCGGTGGCAGCAGCTGCTCCAGCCAGCAAAGACAGCGACAAGACACGACCTCTGAGCAGATGCAAGATGGGGCAGGAGGGATCCAGGCCTGGTTCAAACCTTGGAAACCTCTTGAAAAAATCCCATTAGAAACCATTTCTGTGTGAGACACCACAAACACTGCCCCAGTTCCCAAGGCTTCTGTACAAAAGGTGCCCTTGGAGCTCTGATGATGGCCCTGCCCCTGCCCAACCGAGAGCAGCAATGCCAGGGAGGTTGCACCACCCCATGACAGGTCAGAGCCTTCCTACAGCGCTGCATCGCCCCAGAAGCGTCCCCCCAAGAGCCAGGGACGGGGACACCAAACTGGAGCGAGCATTTTTCCTTGGACAAAAGAGAAAGCGCAGGGGGAGGCCGGTGCCCGCAGAGCTGGGCTGCAGAGCACGGTCAGTTCTTCTTGCTGCTGGGGCTCTTGCTGGTGAACAAGCTGACCTTGCTGGCAGAGGCCACCGACAGAGAGGGGGACTCCAGCTTCACCTTGTCCAGCAGAGTCTTCTTTATGGCTGCTGGGGAGATCTTCTCTTGGTCTGCCAAATGCTGCAGCTCCCTGCAATGGGGCGGTGGAAGAGAAAGACATAGCAAAAGGAAGGGACAGGGGGACAGGGGGCCCTGCGGGGCCTTTAGGACTTCCTGGGCGCCCACCTCGTCCGGATGCAGGAAGCCTCCACCGCGTTGATGAGGAGCGAGCGAAAGCCCCCGCTCTCCAGGAAGTGCAGGGCGTGGATGGTGGCTCCCCCGGGCGAGCAGACGTTGTCCTTCAGCTGCCCCGGGTGCTGCTCCGACTCCAGCAGCATTTTGGCAGCGCCCTGCAGCAAGGGAGAGCAAACGCCTGCGTGAGCCCTGACCAAGGTCACTGCTGTCAAACGCCCCTGGGATGCGCCACGCAGAGCAGCCCCGACCCCGACATCCACAGTGGGCAGAGCCGGGCCCTGCCCGGGAGCCACAGCAGCAGCCCAGCACTTTTCGGAGCTGACATAGCCCGTGGAGGGGTGACGGCTCCCCAGACCCCAGCGCCACGCCACAACAGCAGATTGGTGCTCTGCTCAGGTGCATTTTGGGGAACACTGACCAGCAGCGCCTGCGCTCCCAGCCGCACAGCCAGCCTGCGGGGCAGCCCCATCTTCACTCCCCCATCCGCGAGAGCATCCAGGGCGGTGAACGCCTGCGGGCAGAGAGAGCAAGGAGGTGACTGGAGGTCTGGTACTCTCAAGAGGGGGGCACCCAGGACTGTGCCATGACCCCATCGCTTACAGACTTGACCAACACCGCCCCCTTCACTGCGCGGGTGCCACCCGGGCTTCCCTCCCCTCAGGAGCGGGGGAACGGGAGCGATCCAGCTCCTGGGCGCAGTAACTGCAGCCCCCGCTCTGCAACGTGGACACTGCACTGGCTCTGGACTTCAGACTCGGCCGACTGCTGACGGCTTTGCTGCGACCCAGACTGGCTGTAAACTGCATACCTGGGTTACACGTCCCATCGTGAATGTGGGTGATAACAGGAAACAACAAACCGAAGCGGCACAGACTTCCACCGCACGCAAAGCCTGGGACCGTCACGGGTGCAGGAAGCAGCACGTACATACGCAGGGCCGCTGCCACTCAGCCCCGTCACGGCGTCGATCAGGTCCTCCTCCACCTCGGTGCAGAAGCCCACGCTGGCCATCAGCTGCTCCAAGAGCTTCCCGTCCTCCACATCCGCGTGGGTCCCGGTGGCGTAGACCGTAGCGCCTTCCCGCACAATCACTGGGGTGTTGGTCATGCACCGGATCACTTTTGGTGTGGGGCAGAAGGTAGAGAGTTTCTTAGGGCAGAAAAGTATTGGAGATGAAAGAAAGAAGGAAAGAAGCAAAGAAGGAAGAGAGAAAAAAGGGCTTTAGTGCATACTTGGCACACCAGGCAGGCTGTGCAGGAAGGGCAAGAGCACCACAAACGGAGGGAAAAGCGAGACTCCTGTGCTCCAAACCGCCCGCTTTGAACCACAGTGGCCCAGACCTAAATGTGACCTCTCCAGCAGCACCAGCAAATGGGGAGGTGGGCGGAGTTGCGACTGGGACTCCCCTGAACGCCTCTGCCCCCTCAGCTCAGGGCTGCGGACAGCGCCTGCAGACCCCCAGCACAGCCTGCGGGTGTTCAGGGGAGGTGACCCCCCTCTGCTGAGAGAAAAAACATCTCAAAACCCTCTCACGGAAAAACAGAGCCGGCGTAAGGGCAGCGTTTTCTGATGAGGAGGGGCAGAGGCGGCCTAAAGCACCCAGGGGCTGCAGCACCAGCTCAGTCCCGGGGAGCACAAGGGACCCCGTCTCTCACGCCCACTCCGGGGGCCAGAGGAGCAGGACCGGCTCCAGGTCCAGGTCCTGCCCGGGGCTGCAGCCCCCAGCCCCCCCCAGCGCTCACCTTCTCGATGGAGCTGATGGTGACGCCGGCGGCGCAGGACACCACGATGTGCCGGGGCTGGATGTCGGGGCCCACCTCATCCAGGATGAAGGGGATGATGGGCGGCTTCACGGCCAGGAACAGCACGTCGCTGCCCTGCACCGCCTCCTTGTTGCTCACCGTCACGTTCACCCCGATTTTCTGCAGAGAAACGGGGCCGCTGTGGGGACCGTGGGGAAAGGG